AGGATCTCATCAAGCTCCTGGACATAAGAAGAATCCAACTCTATTCTTTCACTAAAGTGAAGAAATCTGTGGTTAAAATCAATGTAATGCCATTCACTTTCTCACTACTTTTATGTTTTTCTTAAAAATGTGTTGTCTACCAAGACCCAGTTTCTGACCAAATTAATCCTCTGCTGTAATAAAAAACAACATTTTTCTTTCAAGACCTGTTTGACAGTTTTCAGTGTTAATTTCCCTAAACTGCAGCCACCCATCCATCTTATCTAGAGAATTTTAAAATTGCTGCGCAAATAGCACAAAGTTAACTTGCCTTATAGTGTCGGCATATTTTGATAACAAGTCATTAATTTCTTTGCTGATCTCTGTTAAGAGAGAAAAAGATAATTTCATTTAAACATTTGGCTGAATCTCAAGATGAAATTAGGTCATTCCATACTTACTTCCACTATATTTACTACATCACCATTTAAAACCTCTTCCAGTGGTTCAGTCTTGAAAAGGGACTCCGAGTCTTCAGAAGGAGCCAAATCTGTTTTGTCAGGCAGTGGAGGATTTTCTGAAGCTTCATTCTAACAACAGAGCACATTAGGGAAAATACAGTGCTGGGAAAACCCCTTTGCACAGAGTTCAGCTGAGAGAAAGAAGAGGTTTAAAAATACTTTGAGGGTGTTGTTGGAGAAAATGCAAGTGGGTTAACAGCATGGTGAGCATCTTGGGGAGTGGGTGGAAGTACCAGACTGAGATCTCTGTGTATATATATACATTTATTTTTATATACACACTTATTTATATCTATATACTGATATATGTAGTATATATATCTCAGTAAAAGCACTTCAGAAGCTCGCTCTCAAGAAGTTCTACATAAATATGTCCCAGTGTTTACCCAATTTTGCTGGGCTTCAAGCCCTCAGAGAAACTGCGGTTTCACCACACAAAAAAAGTAATTTCTGTTGCCCTAAACCTCTCTAAAATTCCGTGGATCTCTGTTCCTTCAGCCCAGAGGAGGACATGGGATGGGGGTCCTCCCTCACACAGCACCACTCACCTCCATCTTTTTGCTTTTATTTCTGCTTTTCTCTGCTTTTTGCGAGTTGCTCGCCATGGCTGCCTCACGAAAAGCACGAGGCGTTTGCTGAGGAGAACGCTGAAATAAAAACCTGTAAAACCTGCAGCCTCTGCAAGGGCGCTCCTCTCACGGGGGAGGCAGCGCCTCAAAGGGCTGGAATGGCGGGGAGTCCCGGGCCGGCCTGAAATCGATATCAGAGGGGGTTTAATTCGATATCAGAGGGGGTTTAATTCGATATCAGAGGGGATTTAATTCGATATCAGAGGGGTTTTAACCTTTCTGATCCCCGCAGAGCCTGAGGGCACCGAGGCGGCCAGGACGCCCCGGCCCCGCCGCTTCCCCTTCAGGCGGGCGGGCAATGGCCGTGAGGGGCCGCGACTGTGGGGACGAAGGAAAAGGGACAAAGGACGAGAAATAAGGGACAAAAAACAAGGGACAGGACACAAGGGAGAGGCACAAGGGACACCAGTTCCCCTCAGGGCTGGTGGCACCCTCGGTGTCACCCTCGGTGGAGAAGCCCGAGGTGATCCCTGAGGGCCAAGGCAGCGGCTCCGGCCCGGACCTTTCGATCGGTGACAGCTTTGAACAGTTCCTCAAACCTTTCCGTCAAATTTCACCTTCTAAGCAAAATCCAATGGATCTGCCTCAAAAAACGAGCCAGAAATCCGATGGATGTGCCTCAAAAAACGAGCCAGAAATGAGCGCAATTGGAGCGACCAGGCACTAAAATGAGTAAAGACGCAAAAATGAGTAACAGCACTGAGATGAGTAACAGCACTAAGATGAGTAGAAACACTAAAAGGCATGAAAACACTAAAATGAGTAACACTAAAATGAATAACACTAAAATGAATAACACTAAAATGAATAACACTAAAATGAGTTACACCACCGCAACACAGGGCTGCCAAGACCATATTTTCTTTCTCTTGCTAATGAGTGAAGAATAAAACTGCATATTTCCCAAGGCTGTGTGTCTTGGTAGGTGAATCATGTCTTTGTTCGCTACAGTGAAATAAATTATTGCAATATGGGAATTTATGATAATGTTGTGCTATATTATGTGATTTACGTTATGATATATTAAGTTATGGTAGGTAATGCTATGTAAAGTTTGCCTCTGACTTGTCTGGGTTTTTTTTTCCTTTTTTTCTTTCTTTTCTTTCTTTTTCTATTTTCTGTTTTGAAGAGAGGAAAGGACCTCAATCTCACATACATCATCCACAGAGGAAAATAAAATATCAGCATGAGAAATCAAAGTCCTGAAGGAACAAGAACTAAATACTTCCTCAAAGTAGAAACAACTTTTAATAAGCGACCATAGCCCACTTCATTTAATTATCAGATATCTCATAGATAATTATGTTATTAGCATTACTATCAAAACATTCAGAAACAGATATGACAGAACATGTTAGGGAAATATTCTTGAGATGTTTACTTAATTGTGTCATCGTAATAGCTTTTATTAACAGACGATCTGGAGTAAAACAAATTAAACATCTGAATTTTCATTTCCATTTTCTTACGGATATGGTAGTTTATAAATAAAACTCAGACTGAAAGTAAAACGTTAAAACATTTGAGAGAAAATTGTCTAAGGGGAGAGAGTTCACTCTTACTGGAGTTCCAGTTCCTTTAAAACTGGAGCAAAATTATCTAAGCCATTACTCTAAAAGTAGTTGCAGTTCCTCTTGATTGGAGATATTAAATTTCAGGAGAAATGAAAAGTCTAAACTGTACCACAAAAGCCATTGTTCGAGTTAGATCTGGTCCTGAAAAATGCAAATGTGTGCATAAAGGATAAGGAAATGCCTTTTATTCAATGTGTTCAGTGAACTAATTAAATTTTAAGGATCTCAAAAGCTGACATGAAAGACCAAGTCCTCCTTGTATGGAATATTAATTGGCCAAAAATATTAGTGCCAACAGCTAATACAAAATAAAAAACTATCTGAATGTATATTTAAACTTAAATTATAAATTAGTGCCCTAACCTCTGACCAGTGCAGAAGCAGCAAATCCAGGCAGGGAGGTGGAAATAACCGGGGTGATTTTATGGTGCTCGTACCCCCATTTGTCTGTTCAGCCCAGAAATCAGGTTTGCACCTTTGGTTGGTCCTGAGAGCAAAGGGGGAAGAAGAAGCGCAGTTTGTTTGCAGACACTGCGCTCACTCCTCCGCTCTGTGGACACACAGACAGCAGGACAGAGCTCTCTTTTGGTTTTAGTTAGTTTTTAGCTAGCTGAGGCAGAGAAGTTCCCTGGACTGTGCTTTTTCTTTTTCTTTAGATGAATTTAAACCAGAAAAGCACCAGCAGCTCTCACCTCTAGCCCACCAGGCCGGGCCTGGGCTGCAGCATTTCCAACACCAGGACTGATCAGAGACTGATAAGAGATTGATAAGAGACTGAGTGAGCCGAGCTACAGCCCACGGATGGACTTCCTGAGTTTGTCATCTCTTCAGAGCACCAAAAAGTTATATCGTTTAATATTGTTCATTTTATGTGCTAGTGGATGCTTTGCCTGTTGAATAAACAGGTTTTCCCCACTTTTCTCCAAAGAAATCTTCTTCCCAAACCAGTTAGAAGAAAGGACGCTTTAATTTGCTTTCTAGATAAAATAATTTTAAAAGTTTTCTCCCAAATTTGCCCTAAGCCAAGATACTGGGAAATTATTCATTCCCAAGTTTTGCACCTTAGAAGAAAGGACGCTTAAATTTGCTTTCTAGATAAAACCACTTTAGAGGTTTTCTCCCAAATTTGCCCTAAGCCAAGATACTGGGAAATTATTCATTCCCAAGTTTTGCACCTTAGAAGAAAGGACGCTTTAATTTGCTTTCTAGATAAAATAATTTTAAAAGTTTTCTCCCAAATTTGCCCTAAGCCAAGATATTGGGAAATTATTCATTCCCAACCTTGCTGCCCTGGTTTTTAGGGCTGTGCCATCCCTGCAGTTCCAGTTTCTCCCCAGAGGCAGCGGGATGCGGGACGGGGCGTTCTCCCAGCGCAGGGGCTGAACTCCTCCCATGCAGCCGGGTTTGCCACGGGAGATTTCTCCTCCCTCGCCAGCATTCCCGGGCACTGCTGCCACCAGCAGTGGAGGACCGGCAGCGCGGAGATCCCATCCCAAAGCGGCCGTTCCCGCAGGGAGCCGGGCTGCCCCGGGCAGCACCTCCATCAGAATGCTGCAGCAGCAGGACGAGCCCGCTGACATCAGCGTGACACTGAGCGGGACAAAGCCACCCTCGGAACCCCAGATTTGCATAAGGCTCCGGCTCCTGCAGCGAGGAGGGGAAATGCCGTGCGAGAAATGCGGACGTAGGCGCGGACCTTGGGAAAACGTCCCCATTTCGGCCGCCCCAGCCGCTATAAAACCCCTCCCGGCGGCGTTACGGCTCCGCTGCCTTCCCTCGGGTGCGGCATCCCCGGTGGCAGCGGGGACCCGAGCCGGGGTGGCCGTGGCACAGCTCCGGTCCTGAGCCGGGCAGCTCCGCAGCGGCGCTTGCCCCGGCTCCCATCCCGAGGAGACAGAAAGGAGCACCAAGAAGCCATAAAGGACTCCTGAGGAGTCAGAAAGGAGCACCGAGAGCAAGAAAGGAGCACCGAGGAGACAGAAAGGACTCTCGAAGAGCCAGAAGGGAGCACCAAGAAGCCAGAAAGGGCCACGGGAAACGGAAAGGAGCACCGAGGAGACAGAAAGGAGCACCGAGGAGACAGAAAGGAGCACCGAGGCGCCAGAAAGGGCCACAGAGGAAACGGAAAGGAGCACCGAGGAGCTAGAAAGGACCACCGAGAGCCCCCTCTGCTCCCGCCCCGCATCCTGCACTTCTCCCGGCTCACATCGCCCGGCTGCAGCTCCAGAGGAGCCCAGAAAGAACTCCTGAAGAGCCAGAAAGGACCACCGAGGAGACAGAAAGGACCACTGAAGAGCTAGAAAGGACTCCCGAAGAGGCAGAAAAGACCACCGAGAGCCACCTCTGCTCCCGCCCGGCATCCTGAGCTTGCCCTGCCTCCCATCGCCCGGGTGCAGCTCCCGGAGAACCAGAAAGAAGAACCGAGAGCCAGAAGGGAGCGCCAAGAAGCCAGAAAGGACTCCTGAGGAGCCAGAAAGGAGCACCGAGGAGCTAGAAAGGATCACCGAGAGCCACCTCTGCTCCCGCCCCGCATCCTACGCTTCTCCCGGCTCACATCGCCCGGCTGCGGATCCCGAAGAACCAGAAAGGAGCACCGAGAGCCACCGCCCTGCACTCTGCCCTTCTCCCGGCTCTCATCGCTCTGCTGCACTTCCCGAAAAGCCAGAAAGGAGCCCCGAGGAGACAGAAAGGAGCCCCGAAGAGGCAGACAGGACCCCCGAGAGCCCCCAGCCCGGAGGCTGCGCCTCCCCCGCTCCCTCCGCCGCTGCTCCCGGCCCGCATCCCTGCGGCTGATCGGGGTGAGTCGTTCCAGGCCGAGGCAGCAGCTCCTTTGAGCTTCTGCCCTTCCTTTCAAACGCTAGAAGGTCTAAAAACGGTCCTCGGTAAAAGGTCTAAATAGCCATCTTTTGCTGTTTTGATGATCCTGGAGGTCTTTTCCAACCTTTTTGATTCTGTGATCCAGGGAAGAAGCACAGTCATTTTGTTGTACCCATTAGACCAAGGGCCACTTTTTCCTTTAGTCCTGTGTCAAAAGTTCTGCCTCTGCTTGCCCCTGGGCTTTGGGGTACCAGAGGACTTGGAGGTTTATGTGCTAAGAGTGAGACTGCAGGGTTGGGTGTTGTGATATCTCGTTTCCAAGGCATGGCTGTGCATGTTTGCAAACAGAGATGCTGCTGAGAACCTGCTGTCTCTTCTGCACAGCTACAACTACATTAAAAACATATGAAATACAACGAGAAAATCTCTTTGTATTTCATATGTTTTTAATGTATATTTCTCAAATACATTCCTTAAAGTGCTTTGTTACAGGGACTAAGAAAACCACGGTGATTCCCACCCTAATCCCTCTGGGTGTGCGTGTTTACTTATGTTTCTATTGCTCACTTTTTGTATAAAAGGTCATTTTCAACTGGTGAGAAAGCTTTAGAGCAAGCTGGGTATTTTGATTGCACAATTGCAAGAGTCAGATCTCCCCATTGTTCACCTGGTTTTAAGACATTTATTATCTTTAGTGCAAGGGATGACCTTTCTAGGGGCTGTCAGAATGGGTTCTAACTTTTGGGTATTTTAGAAGCTTTTCTAGAGGGAACCTGGTAAGATCAGTGTGTGCAGACTTAGTTTTTATCCCTTTATGGAGTAAGAAGCATCAAGCTTAACTCTGACTCCTCTCCCTGTGCTGTGGGCAGAGTGAAGATGAGTGCTGAAGAGATTCTGGTGCGTGCAGTAGAACTTGGACAAAATTTCTGCCTCTATTTTGACGGTAATTAGAGCATTTAGTAACCTTTTCTGTTGGAATACTGGTTTAACACAATTCCTTTGTCAGTCTGATTTCACCTCACTTCCCCCACAAACTTCAGTTTTAAGTGTTGTGAGCCAAGTAGCTGAGTCAGGGGAACACTCGATGCTTGTACAAAAAATTCTGGGAAAGGACACAGAAGCATTGGAATACTGGCAGTGGACTTGGAGTGAGTGAGTAATTTCTGATCTTGTGGAAAAAGTCAGTTAGAAAACAGTTTCTTGTTTAAAAGCAATTTGTAATGAGTTCTTTCTGGTCCTTTTGCTCACTTGAAGGCACTGATCAAAACCAAAAATTTGCATGCAATTATTCCTCAGCTTTAGGCTTAGCGTGACCTTGTCACCTTTAAATAACCCTAAAAAGGCATTTTGCATACCTCTGGTTTGGTGGTGACTCCAGTTCTCAAATGACTGGGCTTTCATTTGTTTTGCTCAGATAAACCCTGTCTGTAGTGACAGCAGCTCAGCCTTGGTGGCACTGGGCTGTGGGAACACGTGGGTGGCTGCCTGGGCACAGTGACTCCTTTTGTGGGGGCAGAGCTTAATGTTGTTTTTCTTTCCTTTTTTTCACTGCTCACTTGGAACCAAGACGACGATGGTAAGCTGAGAACTCGGCTTTTATGATTTTGTTACTCATTTCATACCTGCTAATCCAGAGAGGACAAGTTTCACACTGAGAGTGGCTGCAAAAATAAAACCAGAGCTACAGCTCACTGCTACTTGTGATGCTGATGTTGCTTTAATTATTCTTAGGACACAGGGTTGTGGCTTCCCTGACAGCACCTTTCAATGCACTTTAATTCTTGGGCAAAAGGGAACTGATGCTTCTCAATTCCCATTAAAAACACAGCGGCTTTTCTTGCTTGTATACATAAATTTCTGTTATAGATATATTTCTGCTTATATAAATACATTTCAGATTCTGGGAAATCTGCTTCAAGCAGAGGTGTGAAAGATGATGTGTTTGATGTCATTCTGAGAACTCCTTTCACGTGACATCCGTAATGCCAGGACTAAGCTGGCAGCAAACTGGCAGGATCTGAGGAGACAACAGCTCAGATATGAAGAGTTTTGCTTTATTTTCCCTGCAGAGCTGGAGTGTGATGCCCTGTGCAAGGACAAGACTCTGCACCGAGTGCTGAGGAACGTGAACAGCCAACTGCTGGTGGTGCGCCCCGACCTCAACGTGGCAGCCTTTGAGAACGTGACAGACCAGGAGATGCAGTCTGGTAATTCCCAAACAGACAGAAACCATCACCACCTTTATCCTGAAGTGGTTTTGTTCTTTGTAATCAAAGCCCAGTGATGGGACTGAGAATAATGACTTCAAACTTCATTTGTGAGAAGAAAACTAAGCTGGGAGTGAAATTTTGTGTCTTGGCATTGGTGATGGATGAGATTTCTGGGTTAGACCAAAGCCTGCAGGATGCCACATGCAGGAAAAGGGCTCTTAAGATTTTTGCTTGGCTCTGGTCACAAAATTTATAATTCCTCCCTTTTTCTTATGCTGGATTACAAAAAAATCACTTTAAAATTCAAACAATGTATTGGCACTAAAAGGTTTTACTTTCTTCTAATATTAGCTATAAACTTAGTTTTGGCTTTGACTTCTTGGGGTGCTTCAGCAATTTATTTACAGCTCTATTTATTGCCCATATTTATTTCTGGATCACCTGTATCCAGCCATGCTCTGATTTACAGAAAGCCACTTCCACATGCCAGTCTCAGTTCCTGCATGCTCCCAGAAGGGTCTGACCCCTCCCCAAGGCCTGGTGACCTTGCTGCACCCTGGTTATTGCCTGATTGCATAAAGCACAACCAGAAACCATAAAAATTCAAGTCCTGGCTCTTCTGTCAGGAAAAATATCCTGGTGAGACAGCCAGAGCTGCCAGGGGAATGGGAAAACATCCCTGGCTGCAGTTGTGCAGCTCCCTCGGAGCAGGTTTTCAACAATAACCCATTTATTTCCAGGCAAAGGGATGCATTTCAGCATTCACTGCTACAAAACCACCACGCCCTTAGCTGGGTTGCCCGTGGCCTTCAGTGTGCAAGTGGAAAACAAGAATTATTACATGTGTTGTGAGAGGGAATGTGGAGAAATGATCGTAAGGTTCAAGGTAAGGCTCTGCTTCCCCCTCCTCATCTGTACAAATCCAACAGGCAGAATTAACCAGAGCTGGAATAAAACTGGTCAGGGCTCGTGCTGGGATTAACCTGCTCCCTTTTTCCTTCCTCAGGAGGGAGAAGTTCCCAAAGAAATTCCTGGTGAAAGCAACATCATCTTTTTCCAAAAGACATTTACATCCTGCTCCTCCACAGCATTTAAGTTTGAATACTCAATGGAAAAAGGAATGTTCTTGGCCTTTGAGGAAGAAGGCTATTTGAGGAAATTAATCCTTAAGAAACTGTCAAAAGATGAAGTGGATGAAACCATGAAGATCAGTGTATGTGCGTTCAGTCAGAATAAAAATCACAACCTATGATGGAACACTTCAAGTTTTAAAACAGTTTGCTTTTTTTAATAAAAGAAACTTTAGTCTGTCTTTATCTAAAAGTAGTCAGTTTAATGTTTTAACTACTGTCAGTACTTATTAAAAAAATAAATGCAAGTTTTTGCCAAAAGGCCAAGCATGTTTTCCAGTCAGACAGAAGAGAATTACACACTCAAGAGTGTGCATGTCAATATAGTCCTGTAGAATCTGACCCCAAAATCTTTAATGCCTGCTGACGCAACAGCTTTTGAATTAGGTTTGGACTTTCACATTGCCACACCCCTCAGATGATGAATTTCTCACCCGAGCAGCTTAAACACATCCAGCTGCATCCTGTGTGAGGAAACCTCTGACACTTTCCATGAGAGACCCTCAGCCTGCCCCAGGGACTTACCCATGACTCACATCTGCATGCCCCTCCTCCCCCTGGGACAAAAACACATGCAGGCATTTAAACCAGACCACACCACCATCAAAAAACTGGCCAGCTACCTGCTTTTGGTAATAAATAAAATTCCCAATCCACATTAAAAAGAAAAAATAAATCAGAAAGTCTTGTAGAATGCAAAGAGTGACTTGGTTGTTCTGGTCATTGCAGAGTCACTGATGGTAACACAAATTCTCTTCCTCTCACTACTACTAGTGCCACAAAAGTACCATGAGAGTGTGGAAAGAGTTTTCTACTCCTTGGCAATGTGGAAGACAGACAGGATGAAGAAGGAAGTTAAAAACCACAATCTCAGTTCCCCCCTAAAAAATCCCTTAAAAAACAGAACATTCCTTCAGCCTCCTCTTCGTTGTCTTTTCTGTCACACAGGGCAACATGGACCAGAGTATTTAGAAAATAAAACTCAAAAAAGTGTTGCAGATGAACATAAAAACCTTCAAAGTTGAATGGTCCTAAAGTAAATTTGAAAAGTATTTTTATTCTACACCAATCCTTGTTGTGTTTTCTAAGGGACATTAATTATCCTTGTGTTAAGTCAAGTCTAAGTCACCCCTAAGTATTAATTCATACAAATATTCTTCATTTTATGAAGTAAGGCACAGCAGACCTATCTACAGAGAAAACAATTCAGGCAACCCAAAAACAGTAAAAATGGTTCAGAAGCACACACAAAATTTCTGTAAATCCTTTATTGCATGGATTAAGAAAAAAAGTATTCCCTTTTCTACATCAGCTCCCAGGGTCCCAAGAGTTACAGGGTCTGCCTTACACACTGATGTCAGAAGCAGCAGTTCAGTTTTTCACAAGCCAAGCTTGTTTTACAGAACAGGAAACCAACCAACAGTTAGAAAAGCACTCATTAAAGCTGGTATTACAAGGAGAGTTCCCTTTAGCTATGCAGGTCTGCCACTGGTGTAACTCATTCATCCCAATTTACAGCGCAGCTTGAATCCACTCACCCTCACTGGGCATCTTCCAGTTCAATCTGCATTTAAACCTGGTTTTTTTCTCTCTATATTCTAAACTAGCTCTGAGCTCCCTGCCGGCTCCCTGGGGACCCTTGGCTGTTCCTTTGTGGTGCAGGATGTTGCTCACAAGCTGATGAAGCAGAGGCAGCAGAGGACAATCGTGTGTGTCGGGGCTGGGGCTCCTCAGAGGCTCCAGAGCATGGCCACAGCCTTGCAGATGCCCACGTCGTGGTAGTTGAAGTGGCAGAGGCCAGCGAAGGTCAGGGCAGACAGGATGTACAGCCCCGTGTTGGCCACTTTAATGGGGACATCTCCGTGCACATAATCAGTGATTACCTGGCCCAGACCCCTAAACGAGAGAGAAAAGCTCAAATCAGCAAAGCTCACTCACTGAAATCTGTCCCTTTGTGTCCCCCTTCTGCCAACTCGCTTTTCTCCCCCTGCTGCCATCAGCCTTTCCTGAAGAATGCTCAGTTCCCACACAGAAAGAGGAAGAATCTATTTCAAAACCAAAACAAAACCTTCCAGAATCTATCGAAAATACAGCGATTGGCTCAGAGTTTTCTTGGGGAAAACAAGTGCTGACCACAGCTCTCCAAACAGAATCCTTGGAATCTGCCATCTTATGTGACTTCCAAGGACTGGAAAAGAGGAAAACCAAGGAAATATCTGGGACCAGCTGTTGTCATAGAGACACAGAAGGTTCCTGGGTACTCATTTAGATTAGAAGAGTGGCAACCAAAGAAATTAGTCTAATTTCAGTTTTTTCCACATCTAGAAGTGAACTCCTGTCCAGATTTGAACTATCCAGCAACACGAGACACAGGATGCTTGTTTTGGGAAAAAGCTCCCAGTCAGAGCAAGGAAAGTGCAAGAATCCCTGGCACAAATTCCTAAGGGCAAAACTGAGGCTTAAGAAAACCTGACACCCCCAAAGTACCACAAAAATCTGCTTTATCCTGGTGGCAAGGAACTCCCAAACCAGGATCACCTCAGGAAGGTGGATGCTGCCAGCCTGGCCAACCGTGTAGCTGGATCCACTCCTAATTAGCCCTGTCCCTGCTCTCATTAAGGATCACAGCAGAACAACACTGAGCAAACATCCATCCAGGAGAAAAGGAAATAATCATCCAGGTCTCCTTGGTGGAATGTTTGCTGTGAGCTCTTTACTACGCAGAACCTCATCACCACTGAGATGTACAAAGCCAGTGCACGGAGCTTTGGAGGCAGAATATTTTTATACAATTTTTATACAGATCTGTTCCTTCTGTTTACACAACACTGGTTCTTCCACGGGCTGAAAACATCCAGGATTCTACACTTCCAGAGGCAAGAAAGTGCTCTTAAGGTTAAAACTTTTATGGATTATTTTTCTGACTGGCAGAACAGCGAGAGAAAGGAAGAGCAAAGTACGACCACGGAAAATGGAGACCAAGGACTTTTCCCAGCTGTTTCACACTTGAGCAGGGTGAGGTCTGGACGTGCTTTGCGGGGAGCTGAGCCCTGCTGTGCTTACCAGTGGCCGTGCAGGGTGAGGGCTGCAGCCAGGGAATAGTCCACGGCCGGTCCGGGGCACAGGTAGGCTGCGGGGAGCAGCCCCAGCAGCAGCACACTGACCGCTCGCTCCCCGGTCCAGTGCAGAGATGCAGCCTTGGAACCGCCTGCAAGGAGAGACATTCTCAGGGAAAAGCCTCTCCGCTGAGGGCTGGAGGGATGGCTTTGAAAGCTGGGGTTTGCAAACCAAAACCCTGCATGGGCAATGCTTGGGAACACAACAGGAGCATCAACCCAGGCTGAGGCCACCAAGAGCTGACCCTGTGAAATTATCAACGCGACGCCCCCGAAGTGCTCGGCTAACACACAGACATCCATCCACCTAAACCAAAATGCAAATGTTTTCCTTCGTTTTGGCACGCAGAAAAGAAATTTAGAAAGTGACAAGATAAGGAAAGCAAAGGATCTGAAGTTTGGACTTGGGCAAAGTGCAAACTGAATGCTATTAACTATTCTATTAATTAGTAGAAGTGCTGCTGAAGGTCAGGGCACACACACTCCTCACAGCCTGAGGCACCACAACTGCACCATCATTTATCACAAATAACATCTCTGCACAGTTACTGCCCTATCTATAACGCTCAGTATCTCACAGCTTTTCCCTTAAATCAATGGGCATTCAGGATTATTTTTTCCTTTGCTGGTAACACCCATAACCATACATCACCCAACAAGAAAACCACTGCACCATAAATCTCTTCTATTTGTTACAGCTGCCACTTAAAACCTCCTAGAGTGGCCCAAAAAAATTATAGACTCAGCCTGGTTTGGGATGGGAGGGACCTTAAAGCTCATCTTGTTTTTAAGTCCCTATGTAGCCATCAGGTACCACCTCCATCACCTCTGTCCTTTATCCTTGCACCGCTGCTGGTGCCTTGAAGGACTAAGCCAAAATCTGCTCCTTTACAGGCCATTCTTGACTGAACCACAGAATATTCAGAAGTTGGAATAGACCTGAAGGATCACCTAACCCATGGGTGGGTAGGATGCCTTGAGCTAGACCCGGGCGCTCGGGTTTAGCAGTTCCAGGAATAGAAAAAGGATCCTGATCTCGGGAAAACGAGATCCCCGCCCTCAAACACGGACAGACAGACAGACAGACGGGGCCGTACCGTGTCCCTGGCGGGGCGGGCCGTGGCTGTCGCGGGCCGGAGCGCAGCGGGCGGCGGCGGCACCGAGCGCGGCGGGGCGGCGGAGCAGGGCCGAGCCGAGCAGAGCTGCGGGACAGCGGGGCGTGAGATCCCGCACCCTCCGGGGCCCCGGAGCCACCGGGATCCCGTGTCATCCGAGGATCCCGCACCCTCCGGGGTCCCTGAGCCACCAGGGTCCCGCATCATCCGAGGGTCCCGCACCCTCCGGAACGCCGCACCCTCCGGGGTCCCGCACCTTCGGGATCCCGCATGACCCGAGGGTCCCGCACCCCCCAGAGTCCCGCAACCCCCGTGGTCCTTCACCCCCCGGGGTCCCGCACCCCCGGGGTCCCGCATCCTCCGGGGTCCCGCACCATCCGAGGATCCCGCTCCCCCCGGGGTCCCGCTCCCGCAGCCCCGGCCTCGCTCACCCAGGGCGGCCCCGCGGGGCCGCGGCCGCAGCAGCGCCAGCGCCATGTCCGCTCCAAGGGCACCGCGCCCGGACACGGAAGCGCTGCCGAGCTTCCGCCGCCGCTTCCGCCGCCGGGGCAGCGGCCCCGAGCTCCGCAGCGGCCGTGAGCCGCCAGAGAGAGCCGTGGATGGGGCTAGGGAAGGAATCCTCCGCTGTGAGGGCGGGCAGGCCCTGGCACGGCTGCCCGGAGGAGCTGTGGCTGCCCCATCACTGGAAGCGCCCAAGGGCAGGCTGGAGCAGCCTGGTGGAAGGTGTGGTGCTCAGGGAACTGCAGTGTCTCTAAGTTCCCTTCCAGCCCGTTCTGTAACTCTATAATTCTGTGTTAAACCCCGCAGCAGACCCAGGTGCTCCTGCCCTGTGCGTTCACACCTTGGTACACACCTTGAACACCTCCGTGAACATCCTATTTTTCTTTCCACTTGAAGGGAAAAAAATAACAGCAGTCAGGGCTTGGAGTGAAGATTTAGGGCCACTGTGGCACTGCTTTGTGCTCGTCCAGGACACAACAATCACCCCACACATCCCCAGTGCCCTGATTTCATCTGCAAGTGTGGTCAAGCAGAAACAAACAGCACAGGGAGAACACAGGCATCACCCAGACTCTGCCTGTGCTCTGTGCCCGGGCTCTGCTCCAGAACAATGACAAAAGCATCAAACACATCTGGATTTATTTATTTTATTAAAAGGCTTGGCTGTTCGCTGCAGGGAGAACGGCCTGGTACCAGTTTCTCCAGTAACACTGGGCAGAGCAGAGACAGGACACAACACCCACCGAGGCCCCTCTGTCAGCACAAATGGTTTCAGCATCCCCATGGAGAAGGAAGGAACGTAGACACGGTGGAGCAGGCTCTGCACAGGAGTCTAAACCAAGCAAACTGGTGGCTTTTTTCACGTTAGAGAAGTCACTGCCCCTTCAGCTGGAATGGGAGTATTCCCCCAGCTCCCCTCCGTGTCCAGCTGACCCTGTGCTTGCCCCCACAGCTCTGCTTTTGGTGGATGAGAAGACAATACTGCTGTGGGGGTTAGAGTGACATTTCCCCTGTTACCAGCTTGATTTATCAGCCCGTCCTCTCTCCTACTGGCCATTGTTTTGGTGAGCCAAAGAGCAATCTGTTCAAACATAATTTAAGGAAAAAAACAACCTGATCAGAGCCCAGCTGGCAGGAGGAGCCCGCCTGTGGGCCAGGGAGGTGCTGTCCTGCAGTGCTGCCCAGGCTCGCTGCTCGCTGTGGGCTGGCAGCGTGTGTAAACCAGTGCAGGAGCAGTGGGGCAGTGCTGAGTGACACAGACCTGCCTCTGTGCTCCCCTGCCGCTCTGAGCTGCACCCCAGACCCCTCAGTCCTCATCAGAGCTGTCCTCAGATTTCTCATCGCCCGCCACCTTCCAGTTCTTCCTCTTGCTCCTCTTCTCCGGCACCTCGCTCGGCCTCTCGGGCACGGAGTTGTGCCGCTTCTTTCTCTTCCTTGGGGGCCGTTTCTCCTTTTTCCCCTCGGATTCAGTGTCCTCAGAGCTGCTGGTGCTGGAGCTGCTTGCATGGCAAAAGTCACTCTCCTGCCCAGAAGAAGAGGTAGGTTCCTTGGCAGGCACTTTCCTGGGCTTTTTCTTGCGCTTGTGTTTTCCTTTCCGGGTGCTTGGAGTCTCCTCTCCTGAGCCCTCGCTCTCCCCCCGGGAGGAATCTGTGGAACTCCTCTCCTGCTCCTTTTTCTTTTTCTTCCTCTTTTTGTGTGAGCGCTTTTTTTGCTTCTTCTTGTGGGATTTCTTGGTTTTTTTCCTTTTGTGGGACTCGCGGGCTGTTTGCTTCCCCAGGTGGGATCTCTTCTTCCCATTGACAGCATTTTGCTCATCTCCTTCCTGCTGATCACTGGAAAAAGAACAGCAGGAGGT